TTCCACTATCAAATAAAGACAATATGACGCCATTTTGAGAATGGTAGTCCTAACTCATTATTGAAGAAAATGAGATTTGGTACTAATTTATAATTACCAAAGTGTAATTTAGTGTTCACGATATTTGTTAATAATATTTATCGATAAAATTGCGGAAAGCGCGTGAAAAACTCTGCATATCGTGTACTTTCGTAGCTTGCAATCTGTGATACTCAAAATGAACACGTAACGAAGAAGATATGTTGGGTAGTGTGTTTTTCACCATAGTTGAGAAAAGCTCACAAGTACTTACCTCATACTCCAAATTAACTTCGGGTAAATGATTAAAGTTGTTGAGTTACGTTATGAGAGTTGTTTGTTGCGGTGGGTTGTAAAGTGTTTTATTTTCAGACAACGTAGATGCTCGTTCATTACAAACTTGTTTCAACTCGTTTCTAGCCTTGCAAAATTGTCTACGTATTTCTGTTAAACGAGAACGTAAAAATATTTTATAGATTATAGAACGCATGAAAATTCTGGTATAAAAGAAAATTAATCGTAACAAGCGTAATTTCATCGATATTTGCGTTTGTATCATTACAAAACTGTAATTATATTTATTATCGCGTGTCTGTTTAATTGCCATATTGCTTTCCTTGTAATGAAAAGGATAAAACAAAACGGGTAGTAAAATGTGAAACTGAAATATGTTAAACGGGGTGAAGAGAATTGTTAAACATTTAAAAGGGCGTTTGATCCTTCCATTTTATTGCTTTCTGGTAGATAAATATGGGTTACATAAATATTCTGATTACCGATTCCACTTTTGATTACATTAACCGTGAAACATTGAAATATCCAGAACAATGTTCTGAGTAATTTTTTCCTACTTGAGAAAGTATTTTTAATTCAAAATATGTGAAGAAAAACCGATATGTGAAGAAATATTTTCAGTGCAGAGAGTGACATTGTTTTGCGACAAAATATTATAAAATGCAATATTGATATTTAAAATATTTTTTAAAAATATTTTCAGTCCAACTGATATTTGTAAAAGTGCGCTAATAATTTGAGAAGAATATACATGATCCAGATAGATAATCTTCTAATTTCCAAACAAAGAACAATTAAATACAAAGAAGCATTGGACAATTTAACTTTTAAGCAAACAGGGCATAGTAGCAAAAATTTTGTCTTATACGTGCTGAGCCCAATTAAGTTCTAAGATGAAATATCCGTCACAGATTAATATAAAAAATATTTAGTTTAGTAACTACGGTTGGCTGAATCGTTTCTATTATTAAACGGTATTATTAAACAATCGTCAGGTGTGGTTTACGTGTGACCACTTTCCAGTCCATTTTTGTGGCCTGTTTTAATAAAGACTATCTTGGTTATTGAATTGGAAAAAGGGAGCCAACTGTGTGACCCACATGCTCTTCAAGCATGCTCTTCAATCTTTTCAATTTGTTTCATTCAGTTAACTTGTTTATGAAAGTCGCGTTGATAGTTTGCAAGATGTGAATTACAAAGTGTGGTCTGTGTAATTTGAAATAATTTAGAAACGCGCTTAAATGCACAAGTTACGTGACGTGCATACGAATAATATTCTTGGTCCGATGTTATGAAATGATACATTCGATAAATTATTATTATGTGTAATCGATAAGCTTTAGGAATTTTGAAATGTATTTGCAAATGTATGCATGACAGCACATGACTGGTATTTGAATAATATTCGCAATTTAATTACTGTTAATTGAGTATTGTAGAGGTTTTGTTTTTGTTCAAATTAAACAGAAATCCAGTTGGTGTCCGAGATGAAATATTTTAGTTTCAATTAAACTTCTGTTTAATACATTGTATTCGGGAAACGAGGGGTAGCATTGCAAGTTGCATCACAACTTTTATGTATTAGGTTGGGGAATAAGTTCGTAGCGTTTTGACATTTTCTTTTTTTTATAGCGACATTTTGCAATTTGCAAGAGGTTATAATATTCATTCGATAGAGCTCTTTCTGCTCTACAAAACTGTGTGAATCATTTTTTTCAGTAGATTCATTCGTCATTACTATTGAGGCTCAGAAATGGAATATCAAGAAGGTAAAAAGCAGCATTTTCGACACCTGCCCTTCTTCGCTTTCCATCGCGGCCAAAAAGTTGTGAAAAGTTGCTGAAACAGGCCGGCATATTTGCACTGTATACAGAGAAGATGTCATATGTGAGTCGACAGCACGGAAATGGTTTGCAAAATTCAACCTAAGGTTGGGCAAGAAGTTCGTAGCGATCACTTCGTGAGGCACCCAGGCTCCCAATTTTTCGACAAATCCCATTGAATGGAGATGATTGAGAATAGTTTTGTGGTCACAGTTCATTTTTTCGACCAATGCACGACTAGTTTGAGGACCATCCTGCTTCACAAGTGCTCGGAGACGCTTTTCGTCGAACTTAGAAGGTCTTCCGCTGCGGGGCGGGTTTTCGACGTTAAAATCGCCATTTTTAAATTTTGCAAACCATTTCCGTGCTGTCGACTCACATATGACATCTTCTCTGTATACAGTGCAAATATGCCGGCCTGTTTCAGCAACTTTTCACAACTTTTTGGCCGCGATGGAAAGCGAAGAAGGGCAGGTGTCGAAAATGCTGCTTTTTACCTTCTTGATATTCCATTTCTGAGCCTCAATAGTAATGACGAATGAATCTACTGGCGAAGAAGAGCAGGTGTCGAAAGTGCTAATTTTTACATCCTGGATATTCCATTTCTGAGCCTCGATAATAATAACGAATGAAACTACTGAAAAAAACGATTAACACAGTTTTGTAGAGCAGAAAGAGCTCTATCGAATGAATATTATAACCTCTTGCAAATTGCAAAATGTCGCTATAAAAAAAAGAAAATGTCAAAACGCTACGAACTTATTCCCCAACCTAATATTTGTAGAGCAGAAAGAGCTCTATCGAATGAATATTATAACCCCTTGCAAATTGCAAAATGTCGCTGTAAAAAAAAGAAAATGTCAAAACGCTACGAATTTATTCCCCAACCTAATAGTTTTGAGTCACTACAAATGTTATAATATTATAATATATTTGCATAATTTTTTTATTACCTTACAAGAAAAAATTCTAAAATTTGAAAAGGTTGTATAACAGTCTCCACTTGGATAAAAATTATCAGAATATAATAATAGACAACTTCGTAGCGTACAATTTTGGTTATACTAATTTTTCTTTGGATCTTATAGATTCGAATGTATTTAAGGCACTAATAGTTATTATCCCTGTATAATAGTTATGACTTGAAGCTGTTATGTTATTTCCTTATTAATTTTGAAATTCTTATAGTGACGTCTAATTGATGAGAAAGTATTTCTTAATCATAGAATTTCAAGTGGAAAAACAGCAAAGAAAGTATAAATAAATTTTTTGAATAAATGATTATATGTTTAACGAAGTGATCATTTTGTTCATTATATTAATACAAACCTTCCAAACACTTATAATAACGTAATGTATAAAAACGTAATAAATTATTTCAAATAAGTGAGTTGTCTTGGGAGTACCTTAAAATACTGTAAATTTGTTACCTTCCCGATTTCTATTTAGAGTTGCAATTCTCAGTCTTCAACCTTATAAAAAGAGTCCTGCTTCTATACACTGTACACAGCAACCCATAGATAACATTGCTTACTAACAATAAAAGCAATAAAAGCATCTCCTGAAATCCAGCCAAGCACTGAAGAAACCAACAATTATCATCAATTCATCAGTGGCAACTGAGTCCCTGGCAAAAACAGGCAATAAACCAAATGGCTTTCTTTTCCCGTGTCCACTGATATCGTTGCGGTTTATAGTAGCAAACTGACAATGAGAGGACTTTTGTGTAGATTATTCCATAATATGCAGGAAGTAAGACGAAAATGTAAACCAAAATCTTTTTATGGCTGAATTTCATTTTGGAGCATTGTTTTTTTCTACTTCTTTAAAAAATCTGATAGTATCCAACAAATATAGACAAGATACAACGATTTTTAGTTTCGAAATTTGTTTGTAGGAGTTTTAAAATTTGCTTCTCCAAATAGTTATATGATTTATTTAGGTACAGAAACATCGAAACATGAAAACTTGAACATTTCAAAATGTACCAACCAAAAACGAACAAGCGTTTATAAATGGACAAACTACAGTTTCGTGAGAAATGGCAAGTTTTTTTGAAATCATTTTTTATTTTTTCTTACTTTCTTTTCTTATTTTATTTATACATTACAATATAGATAATAGCGTTACTCAAAGAAGTTAAGAATTTTCTTTTGCCTATTCTTTGTTTCAAATTATGATCCAAAAAGCAACTAAATTAATTGGTTGTCGAATATTCAAACATTATAAATATTATCTTCTAAAAATTCAAAGCTATATTAATAAAAAACAATAGTTTAAAATATATGTGACATAATACCACAATTTGTTTTTGTCTATAATGTTCTGGAAACAACCTCAAAAAGCTATGTCAGAAACTTAAAAAAATTTGAGGTTATGCACAGAATAATGCATTTCTTTTCTATCCATCAAATATCATTCCCTTCAAAGTATTCACATAATACACCTTTCAGTATCGGTATTAATTAGTTATACTTATTGATGTGTAATGTATATTTATTTATTTATTTATCTATCATTGATTTATTCAAATTTTTATCACTGATTATTAATTATTACCTATTTATTAATCATTACTTCTTGTTAAAAATTTTTGCTTTGCAGTAAGCATATTTTAGCATTTTCGATTAAAAGAGTGTATCTCCTATTTTCGATTTATTTTGCCATGTAAAATTCCTATCTTCCTGCTTACATTGCGTACGACGCATCACCCTGTATAAATATTGGTAGAAAAAAGGAATATGTGTAAATATTGGGTGTTTTTACAGCACACGTGGTGTAACAGTTTCATGTTCGTGTATTGTAGATATTGAAAAATGACGGGGTAAGTAAAGGGTATTGAAAAATGGGATATATCGAAGAATGTTACTTGCCAACGTCTCGGCATTGATCTTTCTCAAAGAGGTTGCACTGTAACGCCCATCGTCTGGCGATATAAGCGAGTTCATCATCCCAAACCTGTAAATAAAAATATCACTGTTTCACATGACTACAAACAGTTAACATTTTACTATGTTAGTTGAAAAGCAAAACTATACTTTACTTTTATTAAACTTTCTTTTTGTTCGGTATACTTTCCCAAAAGTGAGTGCACGGAACAGAATGTTTTAAATTTTATATCAAATTGTGTTGGGCAACTTTCAATTTGAAGGATTTCAAAACAGAATAAAAGAGATGTGCAGCGGAATGACCTATACCAAGTTTTTATATTTACATTATTTTCGAGAAATGTAAACATTAAGTTTTTTTAATGAGATTCTACCTACAGTAAAGCCTTGATGTAAGTGAACATGATCTACACGATGTAAGCGAGAATATTGTCGATTGACCATGAGTAGAAGAACTCTCGAATATATCTGTGCAAGTACAAAATCTTTTTATTTTGAATTTTATTTAATATCAAATCTTTACTAATCGATTTGTGACATTTTTCTGATTAAAATGAGATCAAACGCAGTGTAATTGTAAGTGCAAGTTTTCAATGTTGGATCGATAAAAATTAATTGGTTTTTAACAAAAATAACTGAAGATGGTACTTTAGCTATTATAAAAATTTTTTAATTTTTTGTGTCGCTTTATAAACATTCTAGTGATCGGAATAAATGGGCAACTACCTTTGACATTTACGAACGTCTAATGCACGCAGAAAAACATCACAAATGTGTTTGATAACAACTGTTGTGTTACTACCCTTGTACAACTCAGACAATATACAATGCCAGATATGCAACCCTTCTAGTACTTGGCCATTTCACATAAAATAGCGAGGAAAAATTGACTCGATGTTAAAATACACAATGCGCTGATAAATGACAATCATTGCCGTAGAAGCGACATTATTTTCCAGTCTCCCTAATATTTATCAGTATACAGTCGTTATAAATTGATAGGACTTCATGTCATGTTTATTTGACTTTCACTAACAAGAATGCATTTTTGAGCTCTATCGATTACACTCCTGGTACTCCGTGTTAATGTTCCACTGGGTATGGAAACATACGCTCTTTTCATCTCAGTTTCTAAGTGAGTTGAATCTTTTATAAAGACCAAACTTTTAAAACTAACGAAAATTGCGTGCATAAAACTAACGTGCATTACGCTTACTCATTTATGTAACGTAGCTATCTTATAAAGAATATCTAACGGAACATACCCCACTTTAGGAGCAAGCCACTAATTGTTTGAAAGATACTGTTAATTACATAAGTGCAGCATTGGTTGCGAGTTTTCTTGGTTTTTGCAGGTGTATGTTGATGAAAAACGTAGTTAGATCGAAGGATCACCCTTGTTCGAGAAAGAAAACGAACACTATGTCTTGTACACGAAAGGTCTACCATTCAAATATCAATCACCTATTTTCTTTCATTGAAATATTTGATTATGTTAAATTATCATTAAAGTTGCAGAGATCTATGCTATAACTGCTGTTATTAATAATTTATCAATTGTGCATTTATTATGATGTTAAAATTATCTTTATTGTTCATTATGTGAATTAATAGAATTAGATGCAACTAAATTCAAAACTATTAAAAGTTGTTACCAGCTATAGACTGAATGTATAAAATAAATGCGCATAATTATGCAATGTTATAGGATATCGATATACGTAATAAATAACTATTATCTTAATGTTATAATAATAAGTAATGATAATAGACAATTTTAACGTCATAATAAATGCAACATAAACAAAAAATTGCTAATAATAATAGTACTTATAACTATTTGTAATTTTATAATGATACTTTAAAATAGATATTTGCATAAATATGGAAAGTGTTGTAGCAGTTTCATTCCTACGCTCATCGCCACTAGACGACGCATAAGAACGAGACTTGACTTTCTCGCCAGTACTCAACAAGCCTTCCTACTCATACAAATAGTGTTGGGTTTTTAATTAATGCGGGATCGGTTTATTCGATGTTCATCGAATACGATCGGGCACGAACGGGCGAGGGAAACGTGGACGATTGGCGCCAAGATAATTCGGCGGTATTACATGTTGGCGCGAAAATTAGCGAGGGAACGAAGAATTGGACTGCATTTGTTTCCTTTTACGCGGGAACCAGGGGAGAACGCGGAAAAAGGCGCAGCGTCGGGATTAATCTCGTTGTAACGTGGGAAGTAGGAAGTCGTCCGAAAAGTTGTATCAGTGTCCGTATTTGATTTTTATATTTCGTTGATTATTATACTCTTGTTAAATTATTAAAATTATTATTCTGTTATTATTATTTCCAAAAAAAACTAGTAATCCGTCAACCTCGATAATTTCCGATCCTACATTAATAATATATCTTTCACTTGTAATATACTTTTAATCTTAACGGATTACAAAATGCACGTGTGCATCGCTCCATGCGCCACGCCACGATGAAGACTCTCCGTTTATATGAAGACTCTCCCCGTTTATTCTTTTGTCTCCCACTGCTGCCAACTCGAATATTACATACATATATTTCGTACAAAAAAAAACAATAGAATATATGGTAAATGGCGCGAATAATATAAAGCGCGACGTAAATCTCAACAAATAGTTCCTGTGCATCCCTTACAGACATCCCCGCGTCTAAGGCAAGGGCCTGTTAGGATGCCTTACTGACGAGTCCACTAGCAGGTCCCGGTTGAAAACGCCCCTCTCCCTCTCCTTCATTTTCCCTAGCCCTTCCACTAGCTATCCAAACCACCAAAGTGTTACTTGAATAAAGTGAAAATTAATTAATGTTATTATTTAATGAGCTAAAAAATATTGTATGGGTGTACTTAGTTATATAATTATTCATTATATATGTATATATTAAATAAAATGTTATTGAAGGGAAAAGTTTTATTAGCGTTTATTAAGATAATTACTAATAATTGAATTCTTAATTTGCTCATAAAAAATTGCACGAAAATTAAGTGAAGTTTTATCAGTTTTAAAGTATAAATTTCACTACAAAACATACATGTTTTTATTTTTTTTTAGTATACAATTTTTGAAAATTACAGTTTTAGCGTGAAAAAAGGTTATTGGATTTTTTTTGGAAACTTATATTTTAAATAATCTGTAGAAACAATGTCATTAACATGATTTCATAAAAAATATCAATGGACAACAAATACATATGTAGAGGGTTCTTGCAGGTCGTTTTATAGGTCCATATATTCCGGTCCATTTATTATTGAACATATTAAAAATATGTTTTAAAAACTTGTTAGAGGTCTGCAATTATGAGGGGAAGTCCCGTTACGTTGCTAATAAATATATTATATGAAAAACGATGGCAATCATTTCCAATACTTTCAAAATTCATTATTTGTAATAATTCAAATAACGAATAATAAATAAGTAATGAGTAACAAAAATTGTTATAATTCGTTATTGTTTAAAAGTTCTGTATAAAAGATCGAACTCAGAAGTTCCAGTGGTAAAGCAATATGTTATCCATAATTGATTCGTTCACTTTGGAAGTGCAACAAGTCAGTTCTCTCCAACTACGAAATATTTAATGACTTGCATTTCAATAAATCTATAAAGATTGCTAAGAGACAAATTATTTGTATTCTGTGCTCTTCGATAATATATATTTATTACGTAACAGTGTCTAAAGTACTTGCTACAAAAAATAAAGGTTTTATTATACGTAAATGGACCTGCCTCACTTTTAAAATTAATGAATTATTGTCATTGTCAATTACTGTAATCAGTCATTCAGTTATTCTTTTTGAAAATTACTTTCAATCGTTTCGATCCGAATTGCCTTAATATTCAGATTCTGGCTTTAAGATTATTCTTTTATTTAAAATTCTCAATTATTTCTATAAAAATACTGGGTCTTATTTTCATAAACATAAGAAAAATAATAACATTATGGGATGAGGTCTCGCAGGGAAAAATAATAACTATTTTCCGCCTTTGACTTTCCGTTTATTCTGTGGCAGGTCCACGACCTTACTCCTTGACAAGCAGCGATGAACTAACTAACTTTCATGCTTACGACACTCACCCCCACACACCCTGATGCATTCTCACTCGGAATCATTCTTTCCTCGTCCAAACCGAATCGCTCTCACTCTAAACCAATCATTCAACGATACACGCGTATTTCACAGGCATTCCTCGAACTCGGACACCCAACGCGACACTCGACCCGATGATCCAAACATCCTCTCGCAAACGCTCCGCAGCATTCACTCGGACTCAGGCAAACAACTTGCTATCGCATCTCATTCACACCGAAAATCTTAAGACTAGACTAAATATAATAAATTAGACAGGGACGTGGCGGCCGCTAAATCGACGCCACAACATTCTTTGGAAAGAAGGATTCTATTGGAGTGACGTATTATTCAAAAAAGTACTGGTCAACCCACTAGTTGGTGCAGGAAGAGCTGACCCAAGTGTTTAGAAGAGTTAGACTTACACAGGCTGACACATATTTTCGGCGATAGAACAATTAGGTCAAAAACAATGACAGTCGCCAAACGTCTCCAGAGTGAGTAATAATCACTGCCTGATGCAGTTATTATTGTCATTATTATTCTTATTTGCCAAAATATAATACTGGAAGTGTTTACGGTATGGATAAGCATGTCTTTTTTCGCAGCCTCTGACAATCGAATAGGACTACTATAAGTTTTCAGCATTTTACACGTTTTTCGTAAAATCACAAGGCCTGTTCAAATTGCAATGACATTGCAATTTATTAGCTACTAACAAGATACGCTGTTACTGTAAATAACATTATTAATGCATGCTAATATCTTGTATTTCCTTTGCTTTGGTCACAGTTTGCGGCATGCTCCGTATACACTACCGTTCAAAAGTACCGGACACAAGCGAAATATGCATTAGCGTTGCATGAAAATTATTCAAGTATCTGCAACAGTAACTAAAATCGATTTTTTTTTTCTCTGCGAAGGTCAGAATACTGGAACGTTTTTCAATTGATAATTCTCGTTTGGAACTCATATCTCGATGGAAAAGAAGCTACAGACGAACTAAACCGAAACTGTCGAGTGCGTAGCGTTACCTCCATTCTTATCTCCATTGAGGGAACCTAAGCATCTCCCAACAGTTTACAAACACTTGAAACATGTCGAAGAACCCTCTGAATACGTTCTGCACCATAGAAATGAAACACAGTAGAAATTAAAATTTTTTTTAGAATCGAAAGCGTTTCATTAGATTCACAAATTTGGACTTTGTACTTCTGGACATGAATTTTACTTTCACACTCTCATTGTATAATTTATACTTAAAAATTAATTCTATTACGTTATGACACCTCAAAAAAGATAATAATATGTAAGACGAGGTAGAAAAATGCTTGAAACGCTAACTGAGTTCGGTTTCAAAATACTATATATTTTAAATATATGCCGAATCCGTGGGCGAAATAGCGTCCTCAAGAGAAGGATGCCTTTCCAAGGTCTGTGGACGAACGCCTTTTCCAAAGGTCTCTAAACGAATGCCCTCTTCCCGTTCCGCGAGGTTTCCTAGTCCCCGCGAAACTTGAGGCCCTAGGGTTGTTTTATGGCCCGGACGTCAGGCCTCTACCCCGCGATGGTCGTCGTAGGACGGCCATGTGCCCGTCGTCCCTGCTTTGTTAGGGTGAGTCACTGGGATTTTCTAACAAATAATTATTACAAATGATATGATAACCTCAAATACCATTCGTATAAAGTTCAACTGTGTTTTTTTGTAACGAAACCAAGTGTCCAGATACTTATGAACGCTACTGTATACAGATCATATGCTTTATATCCTCATTACTTTTCCAAATATCTGTAATTCTTTTCAACTCAGATAATGTGGTTAGAGAGTCGCAAACTAGTCTTTTGAGTAGACAGACATTTTCTAGGGCATTCAAATTTCATCTCACGCGCTATCGATACTCGAGCCTAATGTAAACGCTCGCACAGCCCTTAATCGCGCATCACCCACATAATTTATTATCACGATAGTAACAAATTGCTATATATCGTTATCAACGTATTTAGTAATAATTTACATGACCTAAGACAATTTTCCATATATGATATAATGTTACAGCCATAAAAGTGAAATTTTTGTACGTGGTCTAATTCAGTGGCCAGGGACTGTATTTCTATTTTGTTATTATTACCTACCAGCTTCACTTGCAAATCTATCACGATTATAATTTTCCTCGAAATCATTCTGAACCATATTTTTTTAATGAAATAAAACACAATTCATAATTAATTCTCACATAATAGTGAAGTTGTTCAGATATTTTAAGTGTACAAAATACAGGGATAATAGTATTAGTGTTAATACTAAAAGAAGAAACGAGTTTATTGAATATTCATTAAAAACTATAGCACGTGCTGTAATATAAATCATGTATACTATATTTTCAGTTATCTATAACAAAATTATTATTACTGAAACATAGTAAGACGTCATCACAAACGCAACAATATATCTTCGTTTAAAAGAAAGCAATCTACAGTTTGAGTTTGTTTGCCGTTTATGATTTCTAAGAAACTCGATGAAAAATATTTTTCAACCCCAATTTTGAGAGTTATTTTCTCCTTCAACATGAACCAACACCGGTGAAAGAATACGTATTTTGATAGAACTATTTTCCAAGCACGTTTCATAAAAATCGACATTGTGCGGGTTCGATAAGTTCGATTGTAAAAGAAATCCTGAATCGTACCAACTCCATCATATATTTTGCTGGTCGTTGAGGACCCGGATTTCCTCTTTGTTCTTCGCCATTTGCCACCGTGTTACGATAAGCGTTGTGCCACTCGAGTATCGCATTGATGTCTTTTTCATCTAAATCTGTGTGTTCTAGGTTTGAACATCTAGTTCCATGGCCATCAACCTGTGGTAAAAGAAAGGTTTTAATATTAGAATAATTGTACGAAACAAATGTTTTTAGATGAGTAATGATTTGATTAGGTATTCGTACAATTAAGTGGTAAGTTCTGTTTAAGGGGGTATTCCAGTATGACGCGACTATTTTTAGCGGTTAGTCTGAAACTTTTCTCGTTTATTTGTCTTTGTTTAGGTATATACAAAATAATTTTTTCGAAGTGAAGTTATGTACAGTCAGACGGCTGAGATCTTCTATAATGTTAGCCCCTCAAGAAATCATATCATCGAGTCATACTGGAATACCCCCTTAAAGCACTACTATAATCAATGTACTGTCGATATATTATAATTAATTGTAATTTGAAATAAAAAGACATTTCTGAGATTTGGATATTTGGGAAATTGAAAGTTTGAAATTTGAAAATTAAAATATTTAGAAGTATAGGAGTATCTTTGAGAACAGTTAGTTATTGATTACAAAATTTAGATATTTTGAGATATGGAGATTTGATAGTTTGGAATATTTATTAATCGGAAGATTTGGAATATTAAAAACAAGTAATTTAATAATTAAAGAATTTGAGAATATTGAGCATTAGTTTGGCGACTTGGCAAAATGAGTAATTTAGGATTTTGTAAGATTATAAACTGGGGAATGTAGAAATTTAAAAATTTCAAAACCTGGAAATTTATAAATTTAAAAATTTAAAAATTCGGAGATTTAAAATTTAGAAATCTAAAAATTTTGAAATGTATAAATCTAGAAATTTAGGAGTCCGGAAATTCAGAAGTCTAGAAACTCAAATGTCCAAAAATTTAGAAATTTAGACATTTAGAATACTCATTAGAAAGTTGAAGATTTGAAAAAATGAGTAATTACTGAGATTTTTAAATTTCATATATGTAGGATTTGGAAATACAGAAATTGAATAATCTCCTATTTAGGGGATTTTGAACATTAGAAATTGGTGGATTTAAAAAATTAGTAATTCAAACTTTGAATAAATATTTAAAATTCATTGTTGGATATTAAATGCAGTTACTTTATTTTGCAGATTTAGAAATTTTTAGATTTTAGAAGATTATTATAAATATTATCAACCTCTGCACTCTACTTATAAAAGAAAGCTGTATTTTGAAGTTATGAGACATTCATAATTAACACAGTTTCAGGGTTAGCATAAATGATTCATTCGCTTTGAAAAGGCTATATTTTTAAAAGTATTATACATGCACACATAGAGGATATATGAAAAGAACCACAAATTCACCAAGTTTTTACACATTCTGTAAATATTCAACATATGCCCCTTTAGTGACAGCACGCCTTCAGAAAATAATCAAACACATTTCATACATTTTATTAACCCCTTGCATTATTTTGACGAGACTGACTCGTGACGCACTCGTACCATGATCAATTTTACTCATATTTTGAATACGCTTCAATTTGGAGTTTAAGTTCAATTATAATTTGCGTAGTCAACAATTGAACATATTGAAATAACATTTCAATTTTTATGTCTACTTTAATATCATAGCTTAATTGGGCAGTTCTGACTGATGCACCTGACAAATAAGTCATAGTGTAAGGGAATTGTTTACGCTGCAGCATTGATACGTTCTTTGAGCTCGACTAAGGATTGCAGTAATGGGGTACGTAAACAAGGTCTTTAACGTACCCCCACAGGAAGAAGTCGCTTGGCGTTAAATCAGGGGATCTGGGAGGCCAGGGGGACAAAGCTGGGTTCTAGGGAAACAACGTATCAAAGCTGCAGTGCAGACAACTGACAGGACTATGCTACAAAATGTATGGAATGAGCTCGCATATCGTCTGGACGCGTGCCGTGTCATCAAAGATGCACATATTGAACATTTGTAAAGAATGTATGAACTTAGTGAGTTTGTAGTTTCTTTCATATATCTTTCATATGTGTGCGTCTAATACTTTTGAAAATATAGCCTTTTCGAAACGAATGAATCATTTATGCCAATCCTGTATAATTCACATCTTCGTTCAAAGTTGATTAATGTTTTACAGATCGTAAATTAATCTTTAAAGGATTTTTATTTCATCGGAGACGAACATTCACTGCAGGCTATATAAGAAGAAAAGACTATATTCAAATCCTATTACATTCCATATCGGTTTTCAGCTTTTAACGAGCTTTTAATATGTGGGTTAATATAATAATCTCATAATACAGATTTATTTTTGTTCTTTTAACTGTCATTAGCGATAAAGATTGGGTAATACTCGTACGTCCATTTAACAGATTCTTTCATCGAATTTCGCTGTGCTCAGCTGCCAATTTCTGAACTCGAATAAAAATATCCTCCTTAAGCTTCTTGTAAGAAGTGCTATCGAATTTAAGGAAAATTAGTCACTTTCTTTAAAAATAACTATGATTTGCGGCTTCATCGAATTCGCTTTGATGTGCAACAGAAATGGTACCTTTTTTCTTTTTTTAGTGTCAATGTATTGTTTAAATCTTTTCAACGAATTTTTGTTTTTGTCCAGATTTCTGTGTTTTAAAACGTTTCATTCGGAAGAGTAGTGAATTGATTTCTCACTTGCAATTGAATTAATTGTTAAATTTTATTCTCAGTTTAACTTTTATAGTAATTCGTGCAATTTAATTCTTATACTTAATTTAATATTAATTTAAATCATATGATTTAATCTTATTCTTAAACTGATATTAATTTACTTATATAATTTAAATCTTATTCTTATTCTTAATTAATTTATATAATTTCACTGTTATTTCAATTTAATATTAATTTGATTCATATAATTTAATTTTTGTATTTAATTTGATATAAATTAATTTAGGAGTGTCTTAGGTGTTTGTAGATATTTTGCGGTTTTTATTTCGTACAAGCCTATTTCATTTATAGAATTTATTTTATTTACCGATTTATCTATACTCTATCTATTCTTTCATGCATATCCTTATAAGTTAACTGAAACCGTTGAAAATATTTAATATTTGTTAATTTAAAATTAACTGAAAAAATTACGGACAACTATTCTCAAGAAATGTGTACTACAATTTTCTTTCATATTACAGTAAATAATTTGGGTAATATTAAGCGTAATCAGAGTGTTAATATGCATAGTACATTTGTTTGTGACTTCAAGAAAATTTGAAATGTTGGAGTTTAAAGATCTCCCAGAGGTCAAAAGGGCAACGCGATCCTAATGTTCAACACACTTTGGCTTGGATAGCCATTAGCGAACTGTCTTAATTACTATTACTTCTACGTACCGGGCGAAAAAGATGTTATCAAAGTTCAAGAAATTTTGGTAAGAAACACGACTGAGAAGTTCCACCATTTAAGGAAAAACACACATTATTACAATGCTAAAAGCATCAATCCATTTTACTTACTCATTCAAATGCTTTAAGAATAAATAAAAGTATAGTTAAAAGTATGAGCGTTCGCATATCAAGCTATAAATTAAATTAAATCAATTTATATAGAAATTTTTGATATTGAATTTTTAACTTGCAAATATTGTGTTTTGCACATTTTATTAGAAATTGGAAGGGGAAGGGGAGTTCTTTTAATTTGCATTTTTGTACAAAATTTTAATAATACAAGACAATTTTTTCCAATATTGTTTTCTTTTACACATTTTATTAGAAATGAGGGGGGTTTTCTTTTAATTAGCATTTTTGTCCACAACTTTAACCAGTTAACTATGACAACCTTTTCGCACAGCGCGCACCAGTGTGTGTCGCGATAATCAAGCGATGACGAGTTAGGTCTCAAGAATTTATGAATCCATCTCAAATCATTTACACTTTTTATTTGTTTATTTCATTTCGTGTTGACCTCTAAACGTTTTAAACATATTACAATTTACGAATATAATTTAGTTTTCGCCAAAATTACAATTTAAATATCAAATTCTAACAAAATTTTACGCATGACGGATATAGTCGTCATGACACAAAATTCTGCCACATCTCCATGATGGATATAGTCGACAAATACACTTAACTGGTTAATAATATAAGATAATTTTTATCATGTTATATTTTTCAACTTTGTCAACCAATCCTCATATAGAAATACTTAATTTGTAATTACTATATTTTTAATTTTAGTACTTCTATGCGAAGGGTTGTTGAAAAAAGTGTATCTTAAGCTGCACCAAAGCAAGAATTAAAGCATAAATGCAAAAGTAAAGCAAATCATGAAAGAAAGATACTCTGGATATTTAACAAGCGAAAGCTTTAATTAAGTATAAATTAATTCAACATAGTTTAAGTTAGATGAAATCATTACTTTTTAGAATAAAGGAAACCAGAACGCAACTGGACATTTTTTGAAGTTGACAATGAGACATATTTTATTTATGCACTGAAAAAATAACCTTTGCTACAAACTTTTGGACCAATGATTATAGTAGTCGAGGCCCTTCAATTAATCAATCAACCTTTGCTATATACAAAGGACAACTTTCAACACGTTATTAACTGAATTTTTCTGAAGTTTGTGTACAGTATCTGAAACGGTTTATTTATAACCAATTTTTGTATGTATTTTGTTCATTAATGTGCTACAGAACACTTTTCAATAAAAATGTACACTGATATCAACTCACGAGTAAGCGTGCGAGGTCAACGAAAAATAGAAGAAACTATGCCTATCCCCATAGTAAACACTTCCAGTGTTTCGACAAATAGAAAGAATAATGACAATAACAACTGTATCATGCAATTTGCTCTATCTCACTTACTCGAGACCTTTATTGACCATCATTGTTTTTGGCCTCATTGGAGTGCATGACCACACGACTTAATTGTACTACCGCCGAAAATACATGTGTCTAGACATCTACTTTACTATTTTAATTAATTGGAGCTATAGCGATTTGGGGACGTAGTAATTGGCAGTGTACCGATCTGAAGATGTAGAAATTTGAGGATGTAGAGATTTAAGGCTGTAGCGATTTGAGTTTGTCAGAATTTCGGAATGTGGGGATTTGGGAATATAGAGATTTGGGAATATGGGGCTTTGGGAATATAGGGATTTGAGAATATGAGGATTTGGGAATATGGCGATTTTGGAAATATGGGGCTTTGGGAATATAGGGATTTGGGAATGTAAGGATTTGGGAATATGGCGATTTTGGAAATATGGGGATTTGGGAATATGAGGATTTGGGAATGTAAGGATTTGGGAATGTAGGAGTTTGGAAATATGGGGATTTGGGAACATGAGGATATGGGAATGTGGGAATTTGGGAATATGGGGATTTGGGAATATGGGGATTTGGGAATATGGGGATTGGGGAATATAGGGATTTGAGAATATGGGAATTTGGGAATATGGAGATTTGGGAATATGGGGATTTGGGAATATGGGATTTGGGGAATTTGGAGTTTGGGGAATTTGGAATTTGGGGAATTTGGAAAGAAATATGGGGATTTGGGAATATGAGGATTTGGGAGTATAGGGATTTGGGAATGTAGGAGTTTGGGAATACGGGGATTTGGGAATATGGGGATTTGAGAATGTAAAAAGTCAGGAATATACGAATTCGCGAATGTAGAGATTCGGAACTGCATAGTTTTGAGAATGTAAGGATTCGGAAGTATAGAGATTCGGAAACGTAGGAATTTGGCAATGTTATGATTCGGAAATTTAGGGACTCGGGAGTATAGGTATTGAGAATATAGCAATTTGAAGATATGAGAACTCAAGAATATACGAACCCAATGATACAGGAATTTAAAAATAGTGTAACGATTTCGATATGTGCGCTTGTAAACACTATGTGCGAGTCTAGGCGTCCATTTTTCTATTCTGACCAATTGGAGTCGTATATCTTCTAAACACCTGAGTCAGCCTCAAGAGCCAACTAGTGGGTTGACATCGATAGATGGTACATGGTACACTCTTATTTTTACACTTTGTACTACAAGTCCAAAATTCGTGATATTCATATTATACATTTCATTTTAAGAACTTCTAATTGGCTTTTCTGTAGCTTTTCTGTTAAGGATATTTAACAACTACGAGCACACAAAATTTCGCAATGATCTATTTAATTGATACAAATGTAAATTGGAGAACTCAAACAAATTGCAGAAATTTATATTTTATAACCAGAAATGAAAGTTAATCTTGAAGTATCACATCGTATTATATAAAATATAGAATAATATGCAGTTAAGTTATGATACAATTATATGTTTTTCATACATATAATAAAATATTTTTAGAGAATAAAATATTTCTAGAATTTTTTTCTACATCATGGCAGAAACTACTATACTTGATCATACAGAAACAAGAAATAATCTTTATCTTAAGTTATGCAATCTGTTATCCATGGAATTGTTACTTTTTATCGGTCTTACATTGTGGCTTAAATAATAAGTTTTATCAGGATTTTCATACATTTTCAGGAAATTATTTATGCAACTGTAATGTGTTCATCAATCTTTCATGTATAGAAAACTAGCTCTAGATTTTAAGTTTTTGTACATTACATTCTAGGAGATTGGCAATACATTTCTTGTTTGAAATCTTCAATAGTCATTTAAGGCAGCAATAAATTGAAAA